AGGTCCGAGTTCCATGGGTTTTCTGACCACACCCACCTCTCTCCCCACTCGCCATTACCTGGGAAGGGTTCTGATCTACAACTGCCACCGTGGCCCCTGGAGATGGTTCTGGAAGGTCAAACGGCATAGGAACACCCTCCTGGAAAATCACAAAGTTGAGAAGTTAGCTTCTTCCAGGGTCTGAGGGGAGAACATGTGTGGAAATGGAGCAGGAAGGGCAGGGGCAGACAAGTGGCCTTCAAGCGGGAAGGAAGGTGGCGGTCCAATGTTTCAATAATGGTTTGATACTGCCCACCTTGCCAGTTCACGGGCAGTCCTGGACAGAGAGAACTTCACTTGGCTGACCTGGGGTCAGTTCAGTCAAGCTCAGGAGGTCAGAAATGCTGGAGAAGTCCTGGTGCTGCTGTGGGTTAGGTGCTAAACCGCTAAGCTCAAGGGGGGAAGTTTCAGCCCAGCCAGCCATTTGGAAGGAGGAAGAGGAGGCTGACTGCTCTTGTCAAGATGAACAGAAACCCAATACTAGGTCAGAATCAACCAGGTGACAGTGGGAGGAGTTGTAGTAGGGGTTGAGAGCACCAAATATAAATTGGAGACCATTAGCCATGTCCTTCACAGCCTTGTTTACAACAGCTTAAACTGGGAACAGCCAGGAGATGTCCCCCAAGGTGGATCGAATTAGCAACCACCTCAACGAGAAAGGATAGAAGGCAGGAGATTGTCAGGGTGTGCCTGAGAGCCCCTGAGGGCCGGCTGGCAGCTAGAAAAACCACAAGTAGCATTAAGTAGTGGCCATGGCCATTGGCATACAGAGTCACTCATCAAAAGCTGTCCTGACTGAGGGAATGGAATGACTATACTACTACCAGGGGGTGTGGGACTTTTACAAAGTTCTTGGGAAGAAATGGAATGAAAATAGCATGGAGCTTTTCCAGGAACTTTTTGAAGCCTCCACATGATGCAAGGAAAATAGCAGTCAAAATAATGGGACCCGTAGTTGGAAAGATCGCGTTAACAGGCTGCCCACGACCTCTTCAAGTTGTTAAAAAGCAAGGAGGTGACTTTGAGGACTAAGGTGAGCCTGACCCAAGCCAGCGTATTTTCAGTGGCATCCCATGCATGTGGAATTTGGACAATGAATAAGGAAGACCACGGAAGAACAGAGGCATTTGAATGATGGCTCTGGCAAGGAATATCGAAAGGACCATGGACTTCCAAAAGAGCCAACAAATGTGTCTCTGAAAAAGTTCAGGCAGAATGTGCTCCGTAGAGGCCGAATGGCGAAGCTTGGCCTCCTGCCCTTTGGACACGATGTCAGGAGGAACCAGTCCCTGGAGCAGGCCAGGAGGCTTGCCATGTGGAGGGGCAGAGAAAGAGAGGAAGGCTCTCCAGGAGATGGATGGATGCCATGGCTGCCACAATGGGCTCAACTATAAGAAGAGCTGTGAGGATGGCACAAGGCTGGGCAGTGTTTGGTTCTGGGGTACACCGGGTCTTTATGAGCAGGGCGGACGAGAAGGCACCAAACAAGCGGAAAGATAGCTAATTTGTAACCACACAAAGAGGGGAAATGAATCATTCCGGCACACTGGAAATGGTGGTGCCTCTGGGTGTCAGGGTTATAAGAACCTTGGTTTTTCTTCATCTTTGACACTGCTAGAAGAGAGAGCTGGTGGTTCTGTGGGCTAGGTGAACTGCCTCAAGGTCTGCAGTTCAAATCCACTAGCTGCTCCCCAGGGGAAAGATGAGGCTGTACAAATGGACAGGCTCTGGAACCCTAGACAGGCCACTGTGAGTCAGAATTGACTAGACAGTATGGGTTTGGTTTCAGTTGGGTTTTCTTCAAGTCAGGAGTGCTGGTTGCCCTGGTCTGTTAACTGAAAGGTAGGGGGTTCAAACCCCGCAGATGCTCTGAGGGAGAGAGATGGGGTAATCTGCTTTCATAAAGACTGATAGCCACAGAAACCTCTCACAACAGTTCTCCTCTGTCCTATTTGGTTATTATGCTGTGGAATTGACTCCATGGGAGTTGGATATGTTGTGTGTTTGTTTGTTTGTTACATTAATGGGCTCTTTCCAGTTTTTGCTTTAATGAAGAACATGTATAATACCCATAGTCAGCAATAAATAAAATACTATGGGTTGGGGGGGTGGGGATAGCTGCTCCCATATCCTCACTGATTTAGGCTACCGGTATTTTCTTTTTAAAACACTTTATTTAAGCATACAGTTATCTCAGCTCCTTCTTCTTTAGGCAATATGAATTGTGATCTTTACATCTTTTCAATCTGTTTATTTCTTTTTTTAAGCTAGAAAACCATATTGTTTGTGTGTTTTTTAATACTTTTATTGGGGGCTCTTATCATAATCCATACATTCCTCCAATATGTCGAGCACATTTGCACATATGCTGCCATCCTCCTTTTCAAAGCATTCTCTTCCCACTTGAGCTCCTGAAAGCACCTCCCCATTTCTTCCCCCTCCCTCAAGAACACTTGATAAGTTAGAGATTATTTTTTCCATATCTTACATCATCCTCCAACGCCCCTCATCCAGTTTTCTGTTATTCGTCCCCCTGGGAGGAGGTTCTAGGTTAATCATTTTGATCAATTCTCCCATTCCCCCATACCCTCCTCTAATCCTCCTGGTAGCTCTACTCTCCTTGTTGGCCCTGAGGGGTTTATCTATCCTCCATTATCCTGTGTTGCGGGCTCTTATCTGTAGCAGTGTGCATGTTCTTGTCTAATCCGATTTGTAAGGTAGACTTGAGGTCATGACAGTGGGGTGAAGGAAGCACCAAAGAGCTAGAGAAAACTTGTGTGTCTCATCAGTGCTCTACTGTACCCTGACTGGCTCATCTCTTCCCTATGACGCTTCTACAAGGGGATGTCCAACTGTCTACAGATGGGCACTGGGTCTCCACTCCATGCCTTCCTCCCCTCCATTCACCTTGGGTATTGTTTTATTCCAGGTCTTAGATGCCTGATACCTGATCCCATCGAAACCTCATGATCACACAGGCTGGTGTGCTTCATCCATGTGGGGTTTGTTGCTTCTGAGCTAGATGGCTGCTGGTAGTTTTAAACACTATCAAGGTCACGCAGGGTGGATAGGATCCTGTGGAGCTTCCAGCTTAAGGCAGGTTAGGAAGATAGGCCTGGCAACTACTTTCCCAAATGCAAGCAATGAAAGCCTTACAGACCACCACAAAACAGGGTCCAACTCACTGGCTTGGATACATCATCAGGAAGGACCAATTGCAAGGGGTGGACATGATGTGGGTGAAGTACAAGGGGACTGACTGCAAGAAGTTGGTGGAGATGTTCGTTATCTTTCAATTCCATTTTCAGACAGTGGAACTCTGTCTTAGAGGGTCCTGAGTCGACAGCAGTGATGGTGGGTTCTAGTGATTTCTAATAGGTCATCATTAGAATTGGTGGGAGTCAGGAAGGGAGGGAGGAGTGGTGATTGGGAGGAGGTAAGAGGGGGCGACTGGGATGCTGGTCTGTGCTGTGGAGCAGGGAGGAGGAAGGGGATGGTCATTAGGAGTGGGCGTGAAGGGATGGCTAGGGTAGGGCTCTGATGCCCTGGGTGGGTGGTGGCACACTGGGACCATTTGAATTAACCCAACCAGTGAACGATGCCATTGAGTCATCCACTTCTGAGTCATGCATCTGGATGAATGTTCCATTGTCATTGAAACAGCTGTTAAATGAGGAGCAGAGCGCCAACAGGGACTGGCCTGTATGCTTCCAAGTTTACATGCAGAGAGATTATGTAGGGTGTGGTCTGGAAGGGGAATCGCTGGCTCTTGGGGCCCAAGCACTTCAGCGTGGTTGGATGATGCCACACTGTGCCCTGAGGGCATGTGTAAGCCACGGTGTCCACTGAACCGCACAGCTTGGCCTCCAGAGCAGGGTAAGCCTGGGGGCGGTTTCCACTGGAGTGAGGTGGGCATGGGGGTACATGCCACCCCAAAGCAGGGCAGGTGTATGAGCAGAGGATGGGGGTCCCTAAAGTCACTGTGGTTTGAGGACCACAGTGAGAGAAGTCTGGCTGCAGTGGAAGAGCAGCCCAGGATGGAGATCTACTCAGCGGGGTGATGCTGAAAGGGACTAAGGGGCCAGCCTCCCACCCGACACTGAGCCCCCTCCAGCCTGGCCCCACCTCTCGGCATCGCTCCAGCAGGGAGACGAAGGTCCGCTGATAGAAGAGCAGCTGCAGGCGTTCGTGGGCATAATTGTGGCACAGCTCCTCAAAGGTGGCAGCCCGGTCGCTGCCCTGATGCCGGGGGTTCTGGAAGCCCGGAGGATCCACCACCATGATGGAGCCCATGGAGAGGTGGTCGGAAGAGAAGGATCTAGAAGGAAGCAGAGAGATGATATGGAGTCCTCCCATGTTCCCGTGGCAGAGACGAGAGACTGAGGCAGCACACTGGGTGGGTTGGTGGGATCTAGAGGAATGAGGGTGTTGGTGAAAAATGATGACTCAGTGCCATGAACTTTCCAGAAGAACCAACAAATCTGCCCCAGGGGACGTGTAGCCAGAGTGAGGATGGCGAGACTTCATCTCGCGGCTTTGGACACGGGACTTTCTTTATCTTTGTGTTTGTCTCCGTTGTTTAACTCTTTATTGTGAGTGGGGTCCGGGGGTGCAGAACTGACCAGCTTTCCCTACAGCCATCGAGACCTGTTTGTTTCTTCCCATTGATGGCCATCCTCACATCCCTCCTCCCACTTGTGCCCTGCATTTCCTGTTTCCCTTCCTCCTCCTCTCCTGACCCTTCCTGCCTCTTGAACTCTGCCCTTCGGTCAGTGCTCCCCTCTGGATCCCCGATGGTTGATGAGTCTAAGGAGTGCATACCTCCTAGTGTTACATTTCTCCTTACAGACTGATCATTGGACTGAACCTTGAACCAGTTCAAAATTGAACTCAGTTCCAGCCTGGCAGGGTGACAAAGGGTATTCTATCCATTTCTATCCAACCAGTAAGCCTGGATTTTTGATGGTCTGGACTGCTGTTCCACATTCTTCACCCACTTTCTCCAGGACCTTGGAATGTGATCTCTTCCAGAATGTTTAGCAGTAGTAGCGGGGCACCCTTGAGTTTTTCTGGCCTTGGGGTCAAGGAGACTGATGTTTTCACAGCCCATTCATCCAATGAACTATTATTTCCATGTGTCTCTGATGTTCATCATTCTTCTTTCCTCCCGACAGGAAGAGACCAAGCGTTGGACCTCAGGGGTCACTCCAGAGCTTTCAAGAGCTCAGTCTCTCCTCACTATGATCGGATGTCAAATGTTGCCTTGGTAAACTGCATTCTGCCAGTTCACCTCGGTGTCCCCTAAGACTTTGATCCTGAGCCTCCAGACCCAGTGGTTCATGCCCTCGAGGTGTCTGGTTATGGCTAAGCGCTTACCTGTTGATGAGGGAGACCACAGCAGCAAAGAGCTCCTGGTACAAGCCTGTGGCCATCCCCTCCAGACACTCTAGACTCGTCATCTTGAGCCCTGGAGCTGGAAGGGGGGAGGACAGGAGCAGCAGCCTGCGGTCAGGTGGAGGGAGACCCAGGCCACCACCAAGAGGCAGCAGAGGGTCCTCAACTTCAGGAACCACCCCACACCGAGAGAGACACGACCCACCCCCCCAAGTGTGGAAATCATATGCCCACATTGTTGGCACAACACTCACATATCTTAACAGGACTCATGACCCTGCATCCATGGTCCTGTCTCCTGCTCCATCATGCCCTCCACTCACATCCTATCCTCTCCATCAACTCCTGCGCATGCTCGGGGGCTCACCCCAAAGGTCACCTTCTCAGAGAAGCTTGTCCTAAATGATCCTCCCACGTAGAGCAACGCCCACCTACACCTCACTTGATGCCAGTCCTTATGCATCCTATCTTCACTTAAAGGGCTGTTTTGTTCATTAAATGGAACAGTTGGGGTGGGGGGAATGATTTGTTGGCCATCAAATCCCCCGTTACCTGGTGCATAGTAGGTACTCCCTAAATATTGGTTCTTCCGCCCTTATGGGGGTAAAATTTGCCAATTTCATCTCCAACCATGAAAAATAAAAAGACACAGGGTTTCTGAGACTGTCAATATTTATAGGAGTAAGCAGACTTGTCTTTTTCCCACAGAGAAGCTGGTGGGTATGAACCACCAAATGGTTGGTTAGCAGCACAATGCTTAGCCCCTGCGCTACCAGAGCTCCTCATTTTCCATCAGAGGCTATGAAGTATGCATATGCTTGACACTGTCGTCCCAATGCAAGTCTGTTACCATGGTGAGGGACTCGGAGGAGCAGAGATTTCTGGGCATCTAAGTGTTTCCAAGTGTTTAGGCTGACAAT